ATTAGATAGTGAGCGAGTGAGTGTGTGTGTGGATAGGCACTACGTACGGATACTACATCGAATGAGTGGGTGAGTGTTAGTGCGATCAAATGAATGCGAATGCCGCTGTGCGTGGGAGGTGTGTACTGTAGGTCAGCTATGAGTTGTGTCCTACGCTGCCTGTGCGAGTGTACTTGTTATATGCGAGTGTGTGTACACTTGTTGTGCTGTGTCTATTTGCGTGTGTGTGCATATGTGCATACATTGGCTTGTCACTACGCAACTGATAAGATATGTATTGATCTCAAACACATAGAGCCCATTCACCTGCATTATGTACATATTCATATGCCGTCCATTGATGCAGATGCATCCCTCTCGCCATTGAAGTTGTTTGTTGACATGTCTGGGTTATGGACACTAGTCCATAGGCGGGCATATATGCGACCATGTGTATGTTTGCATGAACGCATATGTAATCATTATTTGCGCGTAGTGGTAGAGGACTGTACCTATAGATTGCGTAAACGGGTTGTTTGTTAATAGCCCATTTGCGCATCCCATTGACATAGCAATTGGAACGCTTTGCTACGTTTGATTGTACTCAATGAGTGAGTTGAGGCCATTTACAAGCGTGTACAAGACCAGCACGGTCGCATCACTTAAAGGCATGTGGGTTGACACGTGACACCATTTTGACACTTCCAGGGTACCGAACTGTCGACCAAGAACGGAGCGCTGGAGACTGCGGCAACGGCGGTGGTGTCAGAAGTGGACAAACTGGTCGTACGAGGGGTCGAGGACTCAGGACAGGTGAGGGCAGGCAGGCCCATGCACTTGTGTGTGTAGTAGGCGTGTTGTGGGGTGCACTGGTGCATATAACATGTGTGTTGTGTTGTGTTGTTTGTGTTGTACTGTGCTGTGCTGTGTATTGGTGCTAACTGAACTTCAGCTCATCTTGATTTCTAATGTCTATTTATATAACCGTACCGAACCTCAGCTGGAAGATGAGCTGACCAATCAGATGTCCGCAGCCGCCGCAGGCATTGCCGCCGCAGCCAAGCGATTGGAAGAATTGCTAGAGAAGGCGAAGCGAGAGAGTGAGGGACTTGCACTTAATGTCAGCGAAAGCATCCTGGCAGGCTCACAGGCACTCATGGAGTGCATCCGGGTGAGTGGGATATATATATATATATATATATATACATATATATATACATATATATATAC